AAAAAAAAAAAGAGAAAGGGGATGGGACAAATTAGAACAGCTGAAGATCTATCCTTTGGGTCCCTTTTTGCCCTCCAATGCTATTTCTACTTTGTACATCTTCTCTTTACTATTTTTTATTATTTATTTATTTTTTTAAAAAAATGTCAGAGTATTACAGGGTATCTCTTCTCTTCAGAAAACTTCTGAACCTAAAGGCTCCCTAAAAGAACCAGGGTATTCCCTTCTCCCTCCACCCCAAATGACAATGGCAGCAGCAGCTCTAGAAGAGATAGCACATAGGACAGTGAGTTATCTGTAAGTTAGAAGACGTGATGTTAAAGTCATTGTGCTTTAAATCAGAGGCTGCTTTTGGTGGTTCTCAGCTGCCGACTTGAGAATGCAGATGGAACAGATCCACCTCCACAGGACTACAAGCCAAAGAAAAGTTTATTTGTGGAAATTAATAAGAACAAAAGAGTCACAACCTATTTTCACAATGAGATTTTCAGCCAACCTCACAGGAAACCACCTAGTTTAGTGCCAGCTGGTTCCATTTTTCAGGGGAGCTAGAATGACTCTGGTTAACAGATCACAAACAGAACTCCAGAATATAAAGTGCCTTGACGTATATGAAGTACCATAACTCCCATCTCTGCAGCCCAACTCACACACACACAATTTGTAAACCTTAGATATACCTGAATATAAGTCACCATCCAGGTTTTCTGGAAACTCTCCAAATAGTTACTGAAGAAAAGTGCATTCCATTTCCCAACCCACCATATAGTCAACATGAAGCAACATTATTTGCTTTTCTTTCAGCTAAGGGGGAAAAAAGCCTTCGTGATAAAGAAGAATTTTAAAAAGCAATTACATGGTATGATCCTTAAAGCTCTTAGCAAAGTGGCTGTGTTTCTTGTAACCTCATGCTAATGACAAATAAAAAGCTTTAACTGAAAAGAACAGCACAATAATAGCTCAGCAGTGCACTGTTAAGCTATGTTTTGTTAATCTTCGTTTCACTCTGGAATCTGCAGAGTCTGCTGCCTAGAATATGAAATGAGAAATAATACTGTAGCCAACTAAGGGAGAGAGAGAAAGAGACGAAAGAGAGCGCACATGCTAATCCTCCACTTTAAACCATGGATATTCTGCCTAAAGAAAACATTCCTGACTCTGTCCTTGTCTCTCCCTCCTACCCCCCACTTCCAAGTCCATTTCTTTCTACCTCAGTGACTTAGGCATGAGCTTCTCTTATAGATCACAAGCTGCTTTCAACTTTGAGTCCCTCACAGTGCCTAGCAAAGAAAGGAACCTTATACATATTTGTTGAAGGATGAATGACAAGCAGCTCAAGTCTATCAATTCTCATTTGTTCCCACCTGCATTTGAAGTCACATGATCCTGCTGCCAGCAAAACATTGTTGGGATGCCAATCCAAGCTGAGGACTGTGGAGCGAATCGGCTTTTTAATGTGCTTGCTTACCCACCTACGAGAGGAGAAAAACTATTTTAGTTTAGCCACACATCAAGCGACAGTCCCCAAATGACCTACAAATGTGTGTCAGGTGAAAATACCAAAGCATGGTTCTTCCATTGGCCACCAGGCCTCCTGACAGAAAGAAGGTGCATTTGTAAAGGACAGAGAGAAGACCCATCAACAGTCCCTTCTGTTTTCCTGTCTTTTAGGCTTTGCCATTCTCATCAGAGCAGCAGGTTTCCAGAGGTCCTCATTAGTAAGTATTGATTAGCTTGGTTACTGTCCTATGAGATTTCAGATTACATGTGACATTGACCTTTGAGATAAAATTTGAAGTTTGAAATTACTTAAATTTTTATTATAAATATTCACTGATTTGGTATTCCATTTTCAGTTAATTTTGGGTTGTAAGACAGCTTAATCTCCTTTACAAGTCTCCATGAAGCTGCAAATTCTTTTTATTCTTTTTCAAAGAGAAATCACAACCAAGAAATTAGAAGAACCTCTTGTTGGGGATTAACCTCTAACTAATTCTCTAGTGCCATTCAAAAAAAATTATTTATTTATGTCTAAGACCCGTCATTATTTTGGCTTAACTAATTCAATTTCTGCCCCAAAACTGTTGTTTAAAAACCAATCATTTCCAGTTGTTCAAGAGTTGAGAGACTTAATATTGAGCCAAATGCCTTTCCTTGAATGCTAAATTACCTTTCTACAGAATCTTTTTCATAGAAACCTATCTGAAAAAGTTCATTCTGAGAAAGACAATATTCTGAATTGCTTTATGTTATAATTCTTTTTAAATTAAGGAAAAGAGTGGCAAGCAAAATAAGTAGTTCATATGATTGAATTATAGGCTTCTGAGAGGTTGTTTTAAAGTACTCACATGAAATA